ACCCGTGAATCCATAAAAATTCTAGAAGAAAATGTAGGCAACAAAATTTCGGACATCATACGCAGCAGAATTTTCACTGATACATCACCTAAGGCAACAGAAACAAAGGAGAAAATGAACACATGGGACTACATCCAACTCAAAAGCTTCTGCACAGCAAAAGAAACAATCATCAAAATGGAAAGGCAACCGACTGTATGGGAGAACATCATTGCCAATGAGGTATCAGATAAGGGGTTGATTTCCAATATATATAGAGTGCTCACACAACTCAACAAAAGGAAGACAAAGAACCCAATTAAAAAATGGGCAGAGGAGCTGAATAGACACCTCTCCAAACAGGACATACAAATGGCCAAGAGACATATGAAGAAATGCTCAACATCACTAATCATCAGAGAGATGCAAATTAAAACAACAATGAGGTATCACCTCACACCTGTCAGAATGGCCGCCATCAACAAATCATCAAGCAACAAGTGTTGGCGAGGGTGTGGAGAAAAGGGGACTCTAATACACTGCTGGTGGGAATGCAGACTGGTGCAGCCACTATGGAAAACAATATGGTGTTACCTCAAAAAATTAAAAATTGAACTTCCATTTGACCCAGTGATCCCACTTCTAGGAATATACCCTAAGAAGCCTGAAACACCCATCAGGAAGAATATATGTACCCCCATGTTCATAGCAGCACTATTTACAATAGCTAAGTTCTGGAAACAGCCCAAGTGTCCATCAGTAGACAAATGGATAAAAAAGCAGTGGTACATATACACAATGGAGTACTATGCAGCGGTAAGAAAGATCTCTTATCCTTTGAGACGACATGGAGGGACCTGGAAAGTAGTATCCTAAGTGAAATAAGCCAAGCAGAAAAAGACAAATACCATATGATCTCACTTATATACGGAATATAATGAACATAACAGTCTGAGGAATACGGTAGACCCAGAAACATGGAAGTAGGGCACAGACTGACATCCCTCAGAAGAGGGGGTGGCGGGGTGGGAAGAGATAAACCACAGAACTTATATGCATGTATGCATGACCAATGGACATGGACAACTAAGCTGGGGACGGAGCAGGGGTGGGGTGGGGAGGGGGGTGCCAATGGGGTAAAAAAGGTGAAATATCTGTAACAAAAAAATAAATAAAAAATTTAAAAAAATAAAATAAAATAAATGAAAAGGATAGGCTATTCCCTATTGGAGATATTCATGCTTTCTTACTATGTCACAGCCTCACTCTCCACAAATGGTATTTTATTAATAATTCAATGTAAGTTTTAAAACAAACGCTTCAGAGTGCTAGACCTGCTGTCTTGTAGAGGAGTAAGGCAAAGGAGCCCGACGCGCCTTGCAAAGCACGACCTGCGTGGTGCCTCCGAGAAGCAGAGAGATAGAAAATCAAAGGGAATCATAGGCTGTTTCAGCCAGATCCTAACTTAAATTTTCAATCACATCATTTTATGGATGATGAAGCTGAGTCCCAGAGAGGTGAAGTCACTTTGTTATAATCACACAGCTAACCAGTAGTAAAAGACTGTATGTATTTACTTGTTCATCTGAATGTTAAGAAGACCAAGGTTTGGAAACTTGTACCTAACCAGATGGAAATCACTGATAGATTCCTACCTAGAACTATTTCCAGTTCTCTGTTGGGTTCATAGATTCAAATAATTCCTTAAGTTCTAACTAATTGCATCATGGTTCAGGACAGGAATAATAGCAGTAAAATAATCTGTATTGACAATTATGCTTTAGGTGTCAGGCCAGTCTTTGTACACTGAATTTTACATCCAGTGTCTCCTTCAAGATATCTTGAAAGGATCCTGACCAAGGGGGTTTTCACCAAAATGAGAGTATCTCAGCAGAAAGGTGTTAAGTAGGTTGTCCTGCTATAAATTAGTTGAGATGTTGTCACCTACATCAGGCTTCTGTGCACCTTGAGGTCTGGATGGGGGCCGGGTAGGAAGAAATGACCTGACATGCATGTGAGCATCTGCCTCAGAGATGGAAGCAAGAGCCAGATTCCAAGCTCAACGGACACGTCTCCACCCTTTCTCTGTCATTCTTCACTGGACTTAAGGAAGAACAGAAGTAGAGAGAAGAGAATAAAGAATGAAAGAGCAAACCACTGCCCAGCCAGTGTGGCTCAGTGGATGGAGCGTCATCCTATGGACCCTGAGGTCCTGGTTCGATCCCAGTCAGGACACATTCCTGGGTTGTGGGCTCAGTCCCCAGTAGGGGACATGCAGGAGGCAGCCTATCAGTGTTTCTCTTACATCGATGTTTCTCTCTCTCCCTCTCTCTCTCTCTAAAACATCAATAAAAATTTATTTTTAAAAAGAAAAAAAGAGCAAACCACACCCACTTCTTCACTGTAAGTCCCTGAGTTTATCTTTAGCAGGATGAGGGGATGAAGCTTGACAGTGAATCAGCCAATAAACTGGGTTTATATTGGCCTGTACTTGTTCTCATCTGACTATGAGATTGTTCTAGTCTCTAAAATGAGTAGAAAGCAATGGGTTCTGCCTAAGATGCTGCCAAGAAACGTGAGAGAGCCAGTAATGCTTCAGAAATTACTACTTCAGTATAGGTGGAACTCGGGAGTGGCAGAAACTCTAAAAGAATGTACTCTGCTTTGTGAAGAGTGCAGACTGTACCCTATGGGTGTTCAAGAACACTTAAAGCATTTTACTTAAAGAAATGACATCAGGCCCTGGCCGGTTTGGCTCAGCGGTTAGAGCGTCGGCCTGCGGTCCGGAGAGATCGGGGTTCGGTTCCCGCTAAGGGCATGTACTTCAGTTGCAGTTTGTCCCAGGCCCTGGTTGGTCGTGCGGTGGCAGCCACTCGTGTCCCTTTCACATCGATGTTTCTCTCTCTCTATCTCTTCCTCTCTCTCCCTCCCACTCTATCTGTACAACAAATGGAAAAATGTCCTCGGGTGAGGATAAAAAAAAAAAAAAGAAATGACATCAGCTCTATGCACAATCAACATATATGGATTATGGACCTACAAGGTGCCGGGCTCCATTCTAGGAACTGGGGCTGCTTCACTGAGGGGAAAAAAACACAAAAACGAACAAGTCCTGCCCCTGAGGAGTTCACATTCTGGTGGGAGAGGGGTAACAAATAATAAACATAACAAGTAACTGTTTAACATCTAGTATGTTGGAAGCAGATAAATGTCACAGGGGAAATAGTGCAGAATAGACCAGAAGTGCTAAAGCAGAGAGGACGATGGGGTCAGATTCATCATTCAGTTGGGAGGCCAGGGAGGCGATGTTGGGAAGGCCACATTTCACCAAATATTGGAAGGAGGTGAAGAGTTGGTAGAAAAACAAAATTCAACTGAGTAAAGTTGAAGATATAATTAGCTTTTTACTAAGCAATTCGTGAACCAGGCAGCATCCTATCCAGCAACTAGAAGGGCACTCAGAGGGCTTGTACAAAACAGAAGAATTTTATAGGAATAAGGGTGGGGCCCACAGGATGGATTGCCTTGCTGTTGTTTAACCAAAGAAATTCTGACTAGTTGATTATGTTTCTGGCCCTGGACAGTTTGGCTCAGAAGTTAGAGTGTTGGCCTACAGACAAAGGTTTTGGGTAGATTCCCAGTCAAGGGCATGTACCTTGGTTGCAAGTTCAATCCCTGGCCCTGTCAGGGTCGTGCAGGAGGCAACCAATCGATGTGTCTCTCTTACACTGATGTTTCTCTCTCTCTCTCTCTCTCTCTCTCTCTCTCTCTCTCTCTCTCCCTCCCTCCCTCCCTCCCTCTCCCTTTCCCTCTCCCTCTCCTTCTCCCTCTCTCTTCCTTCCTCCCTCCTACTCTATCTAAAATCAATGGAAAAATATCCTTGAGTGAGGATTTAGAAAGAAAAAAGGATTATGTTTCTGGGAGAGGTTGGAACTACAATTAGATCAGGTATTAAGTCCGAGTTTGGTATCATGGGTTTTTATCAAGAGTGAGGCCATTTTGGGCCTGTAGTTTTCTGTAACAGAGTTAAATATGAGGAAATCTAAAGGAAGAGCATTCAAGGCAGAGGTGATATTAGTTCAAAGGCCACAGACAGGACCCTGCCTAATAAATTTGAACAATAGCATGGAGGCCAGTGTGGCTGAACAGAATAAGAGAAGAGTAAAAGGAGAGAGAGTCAGAAGGGGACAGATCAGCTGGGGTCTTAAAGGCCCTTGAAGGACTTTGACTTTTATTCTGAATGGCTAGGGAGACACTGGAGAATTTACAAATACACAAGGGAGACATAGAGAACTATCTTGATCAGAATTATTTTTTGAAAGGATCACTTTGGATGCTGGGTTGAGAACAGACTATGATGTAGGAGGGGAAGAGTAGAAAGAGAGAATTAGTAAGCATTTCCAATTATTCAAGAGATTACCTATTTTATTTTTTTTATCCTCACCCAAGGACATTTTTTCCATTTTTTGTTCAGAGAGAGAGAGAGAGATCGACGTGAAAGGGACACATCAAGTGGTTGCCATCCACACAACCCAACCAGGGCCGGGGACAAACTGCAACCGAGGCACGCACCCTTAGCGGGAACCGAACCCGGGTCTCTCTGGACCGCAGGCCAACGTTCTAACCGCTGAGCCAAACCATCCAGGGCGAGATTACCTATTTTATTTTTTATTTTTCTCGTATCAGCAGAAAAGTTTTATTTCTTATAAGGACAAACAATTTAAACTACATCCAAGACCTTAACTTCCAGACACAAACCAAAGTAGCGATTTAAAGCGTGATATATTGAGGTACAGACATACAATGGGGGAGATGCTTCTCCATCTGAAGCTTACACCAAACTGCTCAATGGACAGCTGAGCTCCACTAGCGCTTGGGTGAGGTTGAGGGGGTATAGCACAGAACCAAAGGAGAATAGCTATGTTCTACGATACCAAAGCATTTTAAGACTGCTTGGGTAGGGATACATTTTGATGGTGAAGGGAAGAGGGGAGAAGAGCTCAGTCCCCCCCCACCGGGCATTAGGCGGCCTTGCGCAGAGCCACGGCAGAACAGCGCACCTCCCCTTGCTCACGCTCGGTGGACTCTCTGCAGACCTCGGCAGCGCCCTGCAGCAGCGAGTCGTCTGCACTGGAGCCGTGGTTCACCGGAAGAGGCATTCGCCCATCAAGTTCATAGAGGTGGCCATCCACGTTGTTAAACAGAATAAAGTGAAAGTTCACTTTGTCATCTACCCGACACTGGCCTTCCTGCGCCACAGCGTCATGGGCTGCCTGAATGGCCTCATTCTTTTCAAAGCATTTTGCTCTGTCTTCAGGGGACAACTCCGTTTCAGAAAGAAACTGTCTCAGGACTGACCCATCCTCAAATTCCAGTTTGTCTTGATTATTGGCCACCGCGTGTATAAGTCCAATGGTACCACAGGAATTCCCAATGGTCTGCTTCATGAAGTACACGTTAGGGATGGCTTCGTGTCCCTTCAGTTCTTCAATCTGTTTTTCTCCGAAGTCCTCATGCTGGGCGGCGAGTGGAAATAGCAGCAGCAGCACGCAGGCAGGTGCTGGCCCCGAGCTCAGCGCGTCCTCCTCCAGCCCCAGCACGTCCACGAAGCGCCACTGCTCGGCGACCCCCCGCCGTGCCAGCACTTTGTTCAGCATCTCGGGGTTAATCTCCATGGGTCTGAGCTGCATCGTGGCGAACCACAGGTGAAATCACCACCCACAGAAGAGGAAAAACAGCCGAGATTACCTAGTTTAAAAATCACTCTGGAGACAACAGGGAGACAGGAGTGGAAGAAAGTGTCCCTGAAAAAGTCGGAATCAGTTAGGAGTCTACTGCAACAGTCCAGCCATGAAATGTCTAAGACCTTTAATAGTTCTGTTATGGGTGGGGTGCCCTCTTCATCCCTACCTGTTACCAGTGGAAGTGGAGTTCTTGGGAGTGGAGTTTTTTCTCAGGAAAGAAGAATTTCCTGAGGCTCCCATGGGAGGATGAGCTATCATGGAAAGCCTTATTAATGATGTAAAATTAAGGAGGTCCCCTTCCAGGGTTCCATCTCCCTGCATAGCTCCATCCAATCTTGATAGATGCACCTATCTAACCCTCTGTTGGATCCCTTCCCCAGGGATTTGCAGGGAATGGACTGGTAGTTCCCTGAGGAATGTGAAGATGCAGCTCCCTGGTGAAGCTGCCCAGATGACCATGCTTATAATGTCTGGCTTTCCCTTTGCTCTCTTTCTATTATTAATTTTAATAACTAGTTAATTACAATGACAATAGTTCTGACCTTTATAGTCATTTATACTGAAACACAATCAATTTTTCAGTAAGAATGAACAAGCTGAAAGTACCAAAAATTAAGGCCCAAGGAAAAAACAGATATCCCTTCAGAATATGTCTCAACTTTGCATATATTCAAAACAATTATGAGTATATTTCATCTGTGGCTCTCACCCAATGCCCTGTATATAAAAGACACTCCAAAAACTACATTTGGACTTTCTTGTACATGAAGGAGCAACTGCTACAGAGACTGCCCTTGTATAAACTATTAGAAAACTGGGGAAAATATGTATAGCAACTTTTCAGAGGCAATAAACAGATCAGGGCTGTGATCTCAAAGAGAAGGGAAACAATGAGAAAAGTCCTATGTTTGCCCCAGATTACTGCCTGGAGACATTTCCAAGCTGTAGCTCAGAAAGCAGGAACTCAGACAGAACCTGACAATCTCATGTAGTTGAAGAAACATAGATCAGAAGTTAAATCATCATGGTGAATAGAATTTGTAGGGCAGAATATTGGAGAGAAGGGAACTAAACAGAGAGCTCCAGAGTTCTTCAGAGGGGTCCCCTCAAGTCTGTGGCTAAGTATTAACCTGCATTTGTTTAAGGTAAACCTCCATGAGGTTGGAGAAAGAACTATCTAAAAGCAATAGGCTGAAAATTTCATGGAAACATACAGCAATAGGAATAGTTCACATTACCATCATTCAAAGTAAATAAACTTCATAATATTACAGAGCATTAAGTGGAATCTTCTGGAGTCATGCCTTACTATTGGGGATAAATTAGACCTGAAGTATAGACTTCTCGGGGCCTGCCACAAGAAAACTTAAAAACAAGCTTCAAAGGGATCAAACTGATCTGCAAGGGCAAAAACAAAGTCCAAAATTCTATAAAAGAATACAACAATATTTGGCATTAAACGATGTAAAATTAAGTGTCTGGAATCCACTAATAAATTACTAGACATGTGACAAAGAAGAAAAATATGACCTAAAACAAAGATTTTATCAATTAATTAAAACAGAATGAGAGTGGAAAAAATGGTGGCGGAGTGAATGGAGCTACACAGACCATCTCCCAGGGCCAAACTGGATTTACAACGAAAACAAAGACAAATTGTCAGGAAGGAGCAACCAAAAGACAGCCTGGAGGACCACATAACCAGGGACACTGACTCAATCCTGGTAGAGTTGCGAGGACGCGAGAGGGGGCCGGAAGCCCACGGTCCGCAGCGGCCTGGGCCGGGTCCAGCGAACTCGGCGGGGACCAGGGGACTCAGCTGGAAGCTGCTGCCAACTCGGCTGCGTGCTAAGCCCTCGGCTGGTGCCACACCGACTCGGTGGGACCAGGGGACTCGGAGGGAAGCTGCTGCTGCCGCCTCAGCTGCGACCTCGGCTAAGTCCTGCGAACTCCACTGGGTGCTACGCCCTCGCCTGGTGCCGCGGACTCAGCCGCCCTTAGCTGGGAGCAGCTCCATCGGGTTAAAAGTCCCAGGTGGCTCCATGACACAGAGTCTGGACAGAGGCTAAATTGGCAGCAGCCACTCACCTTGGGCTGCGGCAGAGGGAAGGCAGACTGGACTGGAACTGTGTGGGGACACTCGGGATTTGGAGGGTGCTCAGAGCTTTTGCTGAGAGCAGCCACGCAGGACTATGGTCATCTTACTCCTTCCCAGGGCCCTGGGGAGAGGTGGCGGCCCCTCCCTCAGAGATTCAACCCCACCTGGTGGCCATTGAAATGCTAATTGAGGCCCATTACCAACCAGCAGCTGCCCCACCCTCAGGAAATCCTCTTACACTGAGCACCTGAGGGAGTTTTTCAGGCAACTCAGAAACCAAGGTTCTTCAGGTGACCTCTACTAATAGCCTCCAGGCAAAAAAAAAAAAAAAAAAAAGCTAGAGGAAAGTTAAGACTTGACAGTGGTGTTTAAAGTGGGTCCTCCCTGGCTCATCCAAACCCAGGAGAGGGAGTCACAAACAGCAGAACACCAACACCCACAGGGAAAATTTGGCAGACTCCAAAGCCCACTGTGATAGCCAAAATGGTGAAACACAGAAACAAAAGCCAAATGAAAGAACAAGAGACCTCTACCAAGGATGAGATAAATGAGGTGCAGTTAATCAAGTTAACAGAACTAGAATTCAGAGCCATGATCTTGAGGAAGCTCAACAGCATGTGTAAGGACATGAGCACCATGAGTAAAGACATAGAAATGTTGAAAATCAACCAGTTGGAAATTAAAAACGACATATCAGAAATGAAAAACACAGTGGAAGGTCTAAAAAGCAGAGTAGAGGAAGCTGAGGACCGGATCAGTGAATTAGAAGACAGGGTAGAAAAAATCAACCAATCAGAAAAACAAAAGGAAAAAATTATTAAAAAACAGGAAGACAGCTTACGAGAACTGTGGAACAACTGGAAACGGAATAATATTCACATCATAGGAGTCCCCGAAGAAGAAGAAAAGGAGCAAGGGTTAGAGAACATATTTGAAGAAATAGTAACAGAAAACTTTCCAAATTTGGTGAGGAAAGAAGGCATTCAAGTTCAAGAAGCACAGAGAGTCCCAAGTAAGAAGAACCCAAACAGGCGCACACCAAGACACATAGTAATAAAACTGCCAAAAATTAAAGACAAAGAGAGAATCCTAAAAGCAGCAAGAGATAAGCAACAGGTTACCTATAAAGGAAACCCCATAAGGCTCTCAGCTACCTTCTCAAAAGAAACAGTACAGGCCAGAAGGGAATGGCATGAAGTAATCAAGGTCATGAAAAACAAGGATCTGAATCCAAGACTACTCTACCCAGCAAGGCTATCATTCAAAATACAAGGTCAAATAAAGAGCTTCCCAGACAAAAAAAGGCTAAGGGAATACATTAGCACCAAACCAGCACTGCAAGAAATGTTAAAAGGACTGCTGTAATTAGCAGGAGAAATGGGAAGAAAAATAGAACCACACTAAACAAAAATGGCAATAAATAAGTACATATCAATAATCACCTTAAATGTAAATAGACTGAATGCTCCCATAAAAAGACACAGAGTAGCTGATTGGATAAGAGTATGACTCATCTATATGTTGTTTACAAGAGACCCACCTCACAACAAAAGACTCACAGAGGTTGAAAGTGAAAGAATGGAAAAAAAATCTTCCAAGCAAACGGAAAGGGAAAAAAAAGCTGGGGTAGCAATACTCATATCTGATAAAATAGACTTCAAAATAAAGGCCATAAGTAAAGACAAAGAAGGCCACAACATAATATTGAAAGGATCTATCCAACAGGAAGATATAACCTTGATAAACATATATATGCACCCAATATACGAGCACCAAAAATATATTAAAAATCTTCTGGAGGACTTCAAAGGAGAAATCAACAGCAATACAATCATAGCAGGGGACTTTAACACCCCGCTGACATCACTAGATAGATCCTCTAGACAAAAAATTAGCAAGGAAACAGAGACTCGAAATGAAGCACTAGACCAAATGGATTTAATAGATATCTACAGAGAATTACACCCCAAAACTACAGAATTCACATTCTTCTCAAGTGCACATGGGACATTCTCAAAGATAGACCACATGTTAGGGCAAAAACTAAGTCTCTACAAGTTAAAGAAGACTGAAATCATATCAAGCATCTTCTCAGATCACAATGGCATGAAACTAGAAATCAATTGCAAGAACATACAAAGACATTTGAACACATGGAAGCTAAATAGCATGTTATTAAACAATGAATGGGTCATCAAGGAGATCAAGGATGAAATCAAAAACTTCATGGAAACCAATGAAAATGAAGACACAACAACACAAAAGCTATGGGATGCAGCGAAAGCAGTCCTGAAAGGGAAGTTCATAGCACTACAGGCCTACCTCAAAAAACAAGAAAAAAACCTCTAATAGACTATCTAACCTCACAATGTAAAGAACTAGAGACCAAACAAAAAGAAAACCCCAGAGCAAGTAGAAGGAAGGAAATAGTAAAGATCAGAGCAGAAATAAACGACATAGGGACCAAAAAAACAATTCAAAGGATCAATGAAACAAAGAGCTGGTTTTTCAAAAAGATAAACAAGATTGATGGACCCTTAGACAGACTCACCAAGAAACCAAGAGAAAGAACCCAACACACAAAATCAGAAGTGAAAGAAGAGAAGTAACAACTGACATCACAGAGATACAAAAAATCATTAACAACTACTATTATATGGCAACAAATTTGACAATCTAAGTGAAATGGACAAATTTCTGGAAACACATAGTCTCCCAAAACTGGACCAGGAAGAGATAGAAAACTTGAACAGACCAATAACAACTAAGGAAATTGAAGAGGTAATCAAGACTCTCCCAGCAAACAAAAGCCCAGGCCCGGATGGCTTCACGGGGGAGTTTTACTGAA